TTCATCTGGCCGGATGGCTTATCTCAGCAAACAATACTCATCAATGAGAGTTTCAAAACAAGCTCAAGACTTGCTTGTGTCTGCTTGGCGCAACCAGGGGCCGGTTGTTCGAAAGGCGTTTAGCTTAAACGGCGTTTAGTCGCTATGCGATAAAATCGTGTTGCACAAAGCCCGTTTAGTAGCGCGTTTAACTAACCGCCGGATAACCACAGGTTAAAATGATTTAAACCCGATCAAACCGGTTTTTGCCGTCAACGTTTTTCCCGTCAATGATGTATCTTATGGTTAACAAAATCCCATTCGTTGTCAGTGCGGGCAATTATGCGTATATGTGTGCCATCAACACAACCAATTGTGCAAGGAAAATTGGCAATATCGTATAAACCTTGCTTTGCTGCATCGCGTTCTTGCTGTGTTCGAGGAAACCGTATAAATTGGTCAACCTTTCGAGACAACGCTATAGGGTAACTGAACAAATATATCTACAGACAGTAGATTTGTCTAAACGGGCAACTGTATCTCCGGTGACCTGCTGAAAACTGCCAGTCTGTTGCCAGAAATCTCAGTGTTATCAACACCTGTCGTGTCGCGGAAACAGCATGATTACGGTTTGTCGCTGGACTTACTGCTCTTTTCAAATGACTGCGCGGCGTGCCGATTTACTGATGAGTTTGCATTGTGTCAACGTAACGTCATTGATTATGATGTGCTACGTTTAAGCAAGGCCTCGCTATGTTGCGCTGGCGAGAATTTTACAATAGAGAAAACGTAGTTTTCACACCAACAAACACTTTTCAACACGGATATATGAGCTACTGGATATTACTAATAACAGTGCAAAGCTTCGCTTTATCCTTGCATTATTCATAAGAATGAAGGTTGAAAAAAAATTGGGTATAATCCTGGGACGTTTGTACTCAACGTGGTGTTTTCGCAGGAAACAATGGAACCCAGTCTCTTCTTGTTGTTATAATTGTTATAGTTTAGTTAATATATACTTACTTTTAATCACATTGTTATATTCGTCTCCATTTATTCGTACAATGCAACTTATAATATATACTTCAACCCCACCGGTAAATTGCTACTTAGCAATATAACATAACCTTCTATAATCCGTTAATGTCACCATGTATATAGTGTATATATTAACCTTGGCGACAAAATGCGCGTATTTTAAATAAAATTATTGTAAGTCGGCGTCAACAGATGATTCTATAACGAAACCAAATCAGTGTAATTGTAGAAATAAATCCTCATGCCACTGAATGGTAAATGTCTAACAACCAATGTAGTAGTATACCAAGCAACGGTTGTTAGAAACGATTCCAACCATATAGAATCGTATGTTGGTCATACCGAAGGCCAATTCAAATCAAGATATAATTGCCACACTAGCTCATTCAGATTAACTCACTAAATATAGAAATGCAACAGAACTAAGTAAATATCTTAAAGAGGCAAAGGTCAATTATGTGATAAGCTGGCGTATCATGAAACAATGCAAGAGTTATACAGTAATACATCTTAACGCTGTAGTCTTTTACTCACGAAAAATTCATCATAATCTACCACCCTGAACTTTGTTCCCTGAATTCAAGAAGCGAACTTTTATCAAAATGCAGACATAGAAATAAATTTCTCTTAAGTAATGTAACCTAATACAATACGTATATGTATATATGCAATCTGTTTTCCTTCAAACATGTAAATAGTATATATATATATATATATATATATATATATATTAATATATATATTAATATATATATAACCATTGCGACCATATAACAACAAAACAACCAAATTTTAGAAATCACATACGTAATAATTTCTCATCTTAACATATGTGTCTAAGATTAATACTGAAAGAAAATAATCGTTTACCAAAAAATAATATACACCGAGTAAAATAAAATTATATATAGCTACTTTTTCTATTTTAGGGGCTTTTTATCGCACTGATTTTCCTCCGAAGCTTTTCACTCGTAATTTTTGTGCACTACGACTCGAAGTGTCTCATCATTGAACACAGTTCTGCTCTCGCCTGCGAACAAGATGGGCTTGTACCAAACTCGGAAAGATTGATGTTTGCCTGGTTGCTTTCAACAATTGCATCAGCAGTGGTATTTGTTTTGATTGTTGTCGGGGATGAAGATTCTCTTTTCGAGTTTTCGACAGCATCATCGGCGTGCAAGAAAGGGTCGTTCTGGTCGCTGTCGATTTTACTCCTGCTGACAGTTATATACTACATTGTCCGAGTTGCTGAAAGTCCTTCCAAAAGCAAGCATATATCAGTTGCACTGATTTTTTGGCCGATCGCAATGTTCTTGGTTGTAGTTTGTTTAAACTATACGCCGCAGGAACCTTGTCCTGCAATATGTCTATGTCTACGCAATTGTCTATTGACGACGTCTTGCGAGCGTTTTGAACGTTGTGAACCTTGCCCTAGAAGTTGTTGTGAATGTTGTACCAAGTATGAATTGCCTGAAAGTTGTCCTGAAAATTGTTGTGAATGTTGTAGCCAACTTAGACGGCAAAATCATCCAGCTACACAAAAGATCTGGCGTTGCATTTTCTACTGGATTTCACTTATATTGTTCTTTGTTGAAGTAGCCTGCATATGGTTAGCCCTCGCACTTGATGCTGCATATGATGTGGCACCATTGATGGAAGGTTTGCATCGAGACGAAAAATGGGGAGGTATCGTTGTTTTACTTCTTGGTTTCAGAATAACCTTTCATACTAGGTTGTTGACCTTTTTCTGGCAGAAAATTTTCCATGGTGACAAGGACCTTTTCTCTGAACCTGGTTCGAAGATATCAGGATGCGGTAAGAAACTGTGTGCAGGCAAACCAAGGGACGACGGAGGACATGAGGATCAAGTGGAGGATGATGAAAATGACGGGGATCAGGTGGAGACGGGTGAATCATCGAGTAAAGCCATGAGGTCAGCAAAGCCAGCGAGACCTCCACAACCAGAAAAATTTACGGAAACCAGGCCTGCATATCACAGCAAAGCCGAAAAGGTCTCAATATAAATGAGGCTAAATTAATTCATTGAACATAAAATTTGAAGAAGGAGAAATCATTCAAAATCAGAATTATCAAAGCTAGATCGAAAAACTATGTCAGTGCAACTGCATGCAAATAACAATCAGTCTGATTACTTAGTCCCGCTATTCTAATATTTTTTAATAGACGGTGAAATAGACGGTAAAAACAATCAACTTAAAACTGATTGACGAAATTGTCAGTACGGTTACGCCAGAGATTCATTTACACTAGTACTGCACTCGATTTTAGGTATACGGCAATTAGAAAATTGGCTGCCGAACTCGTCCGTGAATGTGTTGGTTGTGAGTTGTTTTAAAGCGCAAGATATGGACTATAATATATAGCAGAATCAAGATTGCATATTATATAATAAATAAATAATTATAGGATATCACCATTTCTGTAATGTGTAATCTATATAATTGGTTACAATATATGATTAGCACGTAGGATTTATCAACATTATATCATGTGACAACTTAGGAATTTACATCGCATTTATCTGTTTCTACAGTTATAATAATTATTATTTAATATTCATTTTTTGTAAGCTTACATTCTGATTGGTCGATTTGTACCACGTGAGTGAATTTTATATAGCAACAACGCCACGGCAGTGCCGTTATAGGATTTATTGCACGATCAAAATGGCGGCAATAAACAAAAAATTTGCCGAACTTAGTTAAGAAGAAATTAATGTAATTATAGATGAATCCACACCGAAAAATACTAAACGGGCAACCGGTTAGGGTGTTTTAGTATTTAAAGGTAAGCATGTGTTGTTTATTTAAGTTTTAAAATGATATAAAGTCTTTACGAGTTTACTCAAAACGAATATTAAAAGCATTAAAGCACTCTTTGTTTGTGCATTATCGGCTTTTACATTGGATTCATTGTAGTAATGACATTGAAGCCGTACGCTTTATACCTATTATTTAGAGGCATATTGAAAAATTTTGACACGCCAGCCTACTGCAAACTAGAAATTAAGCTGCACTGAAAAGGCCATATTAACTAATAATTATTAGTTACAAAATATTTAGTATATACCAGGACAAAATACAGGTATACAATGCAGAAACTAATTAAGCATGCACTGAATTTTCTTAATAATTATTAAGAAGCTTCTATATTGCTACACTGTTTTCTATGTTATACTGCGTATAATTACACTAAATGTAGCGGATTTTATGACTGTAGTCACTTGACGCACTGTATATTAGAAAATCTGGGCATGGTTTATATTAAACGGCCCTGCACAAAAAACAATTGTTTATTTTCTTGAAGAATATTTCTTCAGAATGAATTTCAAAGAAAAGCCTCTTAAAACACCAGACATTTTTCGGAGCTAGGAAACAAATGCCATGCAGAGTGTTATTATTTATTCATTTTAGTTGCTGTACTGCAAGAGAATAAGCTACCAACTCAATGAATTCAACATTTAGAAGACAAAATAGTAAACGAGGAAAGTGAATCAGATACCTCACAAAAAAGCGTGGATAGCCTATGGATTCAATGGATTACATTTTGGGAAAACGTACAAAAAATTATATTTAAATTTCTCATTACAAATTACGTGTAGATGACAGGCGCGTAGCCAGCCCCACACGAGTGGGGGGGTCCAAAATGCCAAATATATACTTTCTAGTAAAATTACTGTTCTAAAAGCCAAAAAAAATAGTCGCCGGAAATGATCTATATGCCACAGATTTGGTGTATCTTATGCCATAGGTGAAATATTTACAAGATTAGCAAAGCATGTGTGTAATAAACTAATAATTAAAACGCCAATTTATTAGATAAAGAAAGTTTTAAGAACTTGTTATTAAGTTGAGAACTTCTTTAATGCATTTTAAGATCACTTTCCTTTTGGACGGAAATCCAATTATGTTCTGTTTTCAGGAGTATAACTTTTCATCTAACTTTTAGATTACACGAATATATTACAGTGGAAGTTTTCTAGGCTTCAAAGCAAATATATCGACAAGAGAATCTAACTTAATATCTTCGGCTACATCTCTTTCGCTACTAACAAGAACCAAGCTCTCAAGTCGATCTTCACCCATGGTTGCTCTCATATAATTGTTGATAATTTTAACTTTGCTGTGGCATCTTTCGCATGAAGCTATTGTAACTGGAATGGTGGCCGCAATACAAATAATTCTGTAAAGGTTGGGATAAAGGCCAGCATGATCACTTTCACCAAACTTCTTTAATATTAATGGAAGGTAAGGGTTCTTCCACCCCTGCTTCTTGCGTGTTTCCATCTCCTCCATCAAACTGCGAAAGCATCCAGACTCTCGAAACAAGGAATATTCCCGACAGGTTGCTTCCTCTGGGATTGCGTATCTTCTTGCCAAACTCTTCACCTTTTCTCTATTATCATCACTCCAACGCGCTGGATTGAATGCCGAGAATTGTACCAAGACTTCACAAGATTCTACTGAAAATCGCCTCTTCAGCTCCGTCAGCAGCAGATCAAGCAGACAATAGTAAAAATCAGTGCGAAATTTACTTTCTAATGACACTGTTGTGCTGTTTTGAGTTGAGGAGGCAACGTGGTGACTGAATGATGCATCAAGCAATGTTTGCCCATCAGCTAGACGATTTGGAAGCGTTCTACGGCGTTTGTTGATGGGATCTCTAAATGAATCTTCAACTTGAAATTCGACTGCCTTGGATTCAGCAGTGCGCACAAACTCGGCAAATTTCTCCTCATTCCGGAAAGAAGAAAATTTAGCGATTAGCGAAGTTACCGCATCCACAGCGGTCACTAAGTCCATTTCTTCTCTTTGAAGATATTCTGAGGCGTACCTTGAAAATTCAAAGAACTCTTTCAAAATCAGCAATTGCAGGAGGAACTCGAACGAACTAATTTTATTCAATAGGCCTTCACAAGTGGCATCAGATGATTTAAGCTCTTCTAGAGTGGCAATCAATGCTGGTAAAGTGTTTATCGTAGCATTAAGATTGTCCGCCTTAGCCGTCCAACGAGTGTCAGAAAAGGCACGAAGAGCAGTTCTTCCATCTTTAATGGAAAATAATTCTAGCTTTCTTTCATAAACGGCGTTTCGTTGTGGTGACCCTTCCATGACTTTGTAGATTGCCCCAATCGTCGAAAAAACATCTTTCACAGGCTGCAAGGTTTCAGCGCACTTCTCAAGGACTAAATTCAGGCAGTGGGCAAAACAGTGGAAGTATAAGGAAAGAGTTGCTCCAGCATCGGTTAATTGCTGCTGCATGCCTTTTTCTTTTCCCGACATATTACTGGCGTCGTCGAAACCTTTCCCAACCATGTTACAAAGTGGTATTTGTAACTTGCCCAGTTCTTGAACTAATACATCGCATAACGATTTCCCTGTGAAACTAACTACTTTCTTGAGCCCTATCACGCGTTCATAGATGATGTTGTTAAACACATAACGCAACACAATTGACATATATGAGTGCTTATGACTGGTTACTTCATCACATTCAACCGAATAGTACTTGCTTTCCTGAACTTGTATCTTTATAATATCCAAAATGTGATTTGCTAAAATTTCTATCATTTCGTTTTGAATATCGGGACTGATCCACGAGACATTTCCAGGATGTGTGTCAAGCCATTTTTGCAGCGGAGGATGATACTTTGCGAGAAACTTGATTTCCGCTAGGAATTTCCCCTGGTTTAAGGACGAATCTTTTTCATCATGGCCCCGAAAAGCTTCGTTTTGAAGAATGAGGTGACGAACGACATCAAAAATAACTTCGGCTACTTCTCTATTTTCTTTTCTTTCTTGTTGTTTTCTGGATATGTTTTCAGCCGCTACAGCAGAAAGCTGAGCGTTGATTGGCACGCATGTTTTCCTATAGATGGCCCTTTCTCTACTTAACTGATGCATCCTTGACTTGCTATGTTTTTCTAACCTTCCTTCGCTTCCGACTGCGTTTTTCCAATTTCTAAAGCCTTCCTTCACGAACACAGTTTCTGAACAACCCACTGGAAAACAAGATAATGTTCATACAACATGTCCGCACTTATACAGGCGATTAAGGTTGGTCGAAAATTTTGTTGCGTTTGTCGTAGGCATTTTAATTTTTCTAGGGCGTTTGATAGACATTTCGAGGCTGAAAAACGGAGAAAGTTATGTTTGTTTTTGACCTAAGGGTGTGGCTACCAACTAGTACTTTATATTGCATCTGCTGATGCCGTATGTCAAAAACAAACATTACTTCAGTGAACTTTTGTGTTTTGGGGTCCCGAATCTCGTGAAACTGCTGTAACGCCCAACTGATGAAACCTAATTGCTAGACGGTTATGTAAACAAATAAAAAACAAACGCTATAGCTATATGAACCAAAAACAAATATCAATGCATCGATCAAAATAAAAATTTATAGAAATTTGAGCCAGTATGAGCTGTTTTCTTGGGGAAAGTTTATAGTTGTAGAAAAAGGATAATTTCCCTCGTAGAAACGTAAAATGCATTAAAAGCAAAGTCTGTTGAGTGATGTGTTTTAGAAGCGCTTTTGTAAATCTTCAAAATCAAATTCAATTTAATTAAGTGCCATAAAACAACATTAAAAAACATTGTTCAACAGGCGCTATAGACGCATCAGACACTTCGACAAAACAGCAACCTGATTCGGCTGATGATCATTTTGTTTTAAAACCGAGTGCCCTATTTATTTTATGTCTTATCAGTTATCAGTCAATTTGTTGAAATTTACCCTTAATTTTAATAAGTTGTCTTTTAAGTGGTAAACGAAGAAGAGTCGCTCATGTAAACCTCTCCTGAGTTATCGCTTAGAAAGAATTAGTTTTAAAATGCAGTATATACAAATCAAGAAAAGATATATCGCAAGCGAACAGTTACTCTATAACTTTCCTAATAGGCCACAATTGTATACCTTGATTCCCAAATACTCTGCAACAGAAACAAAATACTGCGTCTTTCTCTTCCGAATACTCGAGCCAATCATACAAAGCATACCACCTTTCCTGAAATCGTAGCGATTTTGCACCAAACGTTGTTCTTGGAAAGTCTAATTTCGGTCTCACAGGACCCAGCGACATAATTCGCTCCACATCTACAGTCGATTCACTTGCAGGATCACGGGATAAATCCATTACTCCATTTCAGAATAGTATTTAATTATTCATAAAGTATTAAGTATATACTAGCTTCCTACCGTACGTACTGCTGTTTACATATTCACTTCGCATTCTGAGCCTGCGTTGCAGAGAAAATTGCCGTATACTTCACGTCATTTTGCATAAAAATACGTAAAAGCAGTAAAAGTGCTATACTGAAATTGCATGAAACTAAACTGTATATAACGTAGGGGTTAGCCTGTGAACGCATATATACACAATTATTTCTATTTCAACAGGTGGTTTCTTTAAAAATATTCGCAACTTGCCCCCCCCCCCTAGTTTCTTTTCAATTTTGGAAGAATTACAATATTGATCTTTAACAAAAGTGGGGGGGTCCAGACCCCCCCATTCCCCCCCCATGGCTACGCCACTGGTAGATGACACATTGGAGGACTTTCGACAGATTGTTTATATCAAAGGTATCGCTGGATTCTTTGGTTTGTACCTCCACAACTCCCAAGCAGTTGTGCTTCCCCACCAGTCCGTAGTAGTTTCTTTACACTGAAGATCATTGATATCTGATCTACGATGTAATTCACCATCTTTGATTTGAAACAGTGGCGTATTATTTTTTTCTTCTTCATCCAAAAAAGGCAAGAAGTCAGTGACTTCACATGGATCAAGTTTTATATCGGGATCTTGGTAAGCCATGAATACCTGGTCCACTGATGTCTGGGCAGCTTCCGCCACAAAGTTGAAATTATCCTTTCCGAGAAAAAAATCAATAGAGTTATTCTCTATGAAAGCATTCCTCGGTCACATTTTATGAAATTTAAAAGCCACTAATTTAGCAAAAAGTCAGGGTATACGAAAATAAATAAATAAGACGAAGATTTTAATGCACTCCTTAGAAAATACTGACATAATTAAGCGTCATGATAACCAAATTGCCTCCCGTCTCTTTACACTGAGAGCGAGAAGGCAAAGTGCATGCGTGATGCAATAGCGAGCTTATGATGCATCGTAGATTTAGTGAATCTTAAACTCGCTAATAAAATGTCAAGGGCCGTGGGACCGGGGGCACAGGGACAGGGTGCGCCCGTAGTTTTTTTAGAAATACGAAAATGTGCCTCTTTTTTCAAGCGAATATTCCCTTATTTGAGTCGTTAAATGTGCATTATTGTTAACGAAAAAAAGGAAACAAGACTTAGGAGTACATATAATCTCAAACTTTGTGTGTAGCAAAATTTTGCATTGCAGTTGTAAACAATAATTACGTAGTTCAGTGAATTTCACTGTTTTCGAATCCAAGATGTATGGGGGGAATTGTGATATTACGTGATGTGCCTACAAGCTAATTTACTTATGAGAAAGTGCCCTTTTTGTTAGTGACAACCTTCTCCTCCCCCCACTTTCTAAATACTGTAGTTCCGCAGTCCTTAAAAAAAATGTAATTCTTTTATTTTTTATTTTTTACTTTTTTTTAAAAACAACTTTTCGGAAATTAAATGCAGTTACCAAACAGTTCAATCAAATAATTACGGTGAGTCACCTTGTCATTTTTTTGAATCAGCATTCCATCCCCATAAGCAATCCACGTATCTCCACGTAGGTTGGTAACACGAAGACCAAACTTGTTATCTTCATCATGCATGAATTTCGACAAAAGATCTCCTATCAAACTTGGTGTGACGTTAAATTGAAGTTCTGCTCTCGGTGTTCTGAAATTTCAATTAGAATATCGCTTTGTATGTGTCAGAGTAATCACTTTTTTTATTGTTTCTGCATGGTGCGTCATTTGTTTTTACTTCAATTGTTCTTGTTGTTGCAACTGTCATTGTTTTCACTTGTACTTCTTGATATTTTGTTAGTCCTCGTTGTTGTTGTTGTTTTTCTTCCTGCCCAGAATGCACATTTTGTTGTTGCTATTCTCGCCGTCGATTATGCAAAAATAGATGTTAGGCATTGTGTGCAAATAGACTATATAATATCATACCTAATATGTCCACTTGCAAATGCATCAGTAAAGAAATGAAGGGCAAATGCCTCAATTGAATAGGCCATATCGCGCAGCTTTTCTCGATCTCTTCCCATTGAGCGACCTAATCAAAATATGATTCAATTGATCGTGAGATATATGTCTTCTGCGCATGTTCGGTTTAAAGGCAAAAGGATATAAAAGCACTGAAAAAAAAGTAAGAAAAAACTCAAAAACATCGATGGAAATTCCCGCAACGAAATTTTGCCCTTTACTTTTATGGTTGCATTGTAAAGAACGCTTAAAATATTCTCAAATACTGAACATTGTAAGATATCTAAATAACCCAACTAATGACATCACACGGCATAAAGATTTTTAAAATATATTATGGCTTTGATTAACCCTCGTGATAAACCTCAGTAATAATCTCATTATCTACTGTTTGAATTCATTCGACGCAACCAAAATGCGACGTTTAAACAAGGCCTCAGTTATTCCTTTGCACATTTTTATTGGGACTTAGTCTTTTTAGAAGCCACGCGGGCACCCCCTACTATAGACAGCAAACCGGGGGGGGGGAGTTCTTGTTACCTGCTTCCCGCGCTTTCTCAATGGCATATCCATGTCCTGTTTCATAAGCTCTTTTAGCACGGGATCCAAAGTGATCAAAATTTTTGTGTGCAAGTTTCAACATATTGCCAGGCCATATGGGAATTCCACCAATCCACCATCCGCCGGAAGCTTCGTCCCATGCTTGGTTGCTGTGATGACAGTGTAGATTCGGTCCATCCGTTTCCTGCCTGATCATTTCAACCAATTCTTCTAATCGTTCCTTAAAAAGATATTCTTTGAATGAAATTTTTTTGGAACTTCCCAAGTCACAACTACTAAGTGCCCAAGCACTTTCTAAACCATTTTCATTTATCACTAAAACCCAGGTAATTATTAATATTGATCTTGAAATTTCAATTTCATGCAAATGATGAAAGCGGAAGGAAAGTCAGCTCAGTAATAACATTTTAGTATCGCATGACATTATAATCACATGGAGTGTCTGTTTTATTCCTTTATTTTTCAAATTTATATATAAATATAGTAATATCATATAATACATCTCAAACCTTAAACTTTCCCGTGTGTGGAGTATTCGCCAAAGTTGAATAAGCATTCTTGAATCTTTGTAAACTATCCGCAGATTGGTTAGGGTTTACCAAGGGATTTACAATCGGTTCTTTAGGTATGCCATAAAAGTCTCCAGCAAGAGCAACGATATATGCAAACTGAAGACGAACTCCATTTGGAAGAGTAAGATTTTTTCCCATCCCTATACACGATGAAAGTAAATCTTGTGAGAAATTTAGCGCGTTCAGAAGACCACAATGTTTTTTTCTGCTCTAGACACTTCTCCGCTCAAGATTAGGGCATGCCGTACCTCAAGCCATGTTGTTATACGCATTAACCTCAACCTGATGAAATTAAAAGCTGACATTATCTGTAAATAGTGTTACCAATTGTCAATCTCTTCCCTATTTCCTCATGTTCGTCTGTATTAAATGTTAAACGATGAAACGTGAATTCCTAAAAAAGAAAACATTGGAGACAATCATTTTCTTCAGATTTCTTCGCGAAATAATCAAACAACTTCAGCCTTCTCCACAGTGCCTGCATGTGCCTCCAGAACAGGTTATAACAAAGTTAAGTGTATGATCATATTAAAATTTTTCGCTCATGCGTTCTCCAATGTATTTACATTGTGAATTTGGCAACTACTGACGAAACTTTTGTGTTTATAAAAACTCCACAGTTCAGGGGCGGATCTAGGGGTAGTCACACCAATCACGCGACTAACGTAAACATTCCGCACTAATTTGATTCAATGAAAGTGAAATAATATTTATTTTTCCGAACGCAGTCCAGTTGTAAATTTGCAGCGGCATAATTAATTTTCTGGCCGAATGAATTAAATTAACACTGATCTCTCTTGATTTCCCCGCTCTGAATTCAAATTTCAAACTGCACAATCGTGATCGTTCTGGAGGTTGGTTAGGGGCGTTTCTGGTCAATCTGATTGGCCCATTCGGTGGTTTCTAAGGAGACAAAAATGGTGATAGTTTTGGGGGTTTGGTCTGATCGTTTTAGAGGTTGGTTATGGGCGTTTTTCATCAATCTGATTGGTCAGATCGATAGTTTCCATAGCGACGCTAATTGTGATCGTTTTGGAGGTTGGTCTTATCTTCATTTCTTATTGGCTGTTTAATTCCTGACCGATCACGACCGATCAAGCGATCAGAGTCAGACTAGCCTCCTCCGCAGGCATCTCTTTAATATGTATTTATATTATGCATTTATATTTGACCGTGAGTAATATCACCGATCAGAGCCCATGTTTTGCAGTCAAATGAATAGTTCTTTGCAAGGGAATTCAAAAGAAAAACCGGTGTAGAGCAGTTTTAATGCGGGCGCTATATTCATGACACTATTAAATAACATGTCGTCGAGAGATGGATGTTTTCGTATTAACTATACTCGCATGTGTTCGACGAATTGAGAAGTGTACTGTTATACGGTAATTATAAATTATCCAATGTTGATGTTTATGTAAACTATACCCTGATAATACTATAAGTTCATATAAACAATGGTCCGATAATTTAACTATGTTATTGTTAGCTTATATATTTTACCTAGGCTTTGAGGCTGTTGTTATTAGATATTTGCATTCGCCCGTCGCCCGTCAAATCGATTTAGAATTTCGAGCCCATTCATATTCTCATTTGTTGTATTGATTATTCGCATTACCCAGATTCTTCTTGCTGGCATTGTATAGATTGTGAGCTAGTGTAATAATCTGTAATTTGCAGTTTGAAAGATTTAGAAAGCTATGGATATTTGCGAAATCATTATAATATATAAATATAAAGCAATTTCGCTTTCACCAAATTCAATGATAACGTAATAAACCTGTGTTCTTACATTTCACTAGACAATAACATTTTAAGCTGAAAATTTCTTGAGAGGTCTGTTCGAAGGGGTAAATTTCTACCATTATTGAGATTTGACTATTGCTATAAAAACATGCATTTTATACCCACAAAACGTCCCTTTTTAAACCTTCCATTTCAGTGCCTACACAATGTTTTGTGTGGCATTCAATAGCTGTGCCCTAGGAATTTAGCAGACTATAACCTGGCATTAAGCTTGGAAAGCCTCACAAATTTCATAAATCTGGCGGAGGGAGGACGATTGGTGACGAAAATTGGCCTACGAAAATTTTGACTAACGTAAAAAAAATCCTAGATCCGCCACTGCCACAGTTGTACAACGAATGTTTTCTTATATACATTTGTTTCAAAACTCTTAATTTACTTTATCACGTCTTTTAAAAGTTGAAATGTATTGCAAGTGAAAGGAAAATCGTGTCGTCCCCAACGTGTAACAATTAGAGCTCGCACGATCGCCATAAGGATAAGATATCGCCATAAACTGGCCATATAAAGGAACAAAAGCCGGAGAAGGTGGCCGCGACAATAATTGCTTTCGTCAGGCAAATTTGCTTCATAAGATAATATGCATCAACACTCTTACAAATACTATAATACTCGATGAAATCGGCGTCTCTAGATCTCTTATCGTCTTCCTAACACGAAGTCTAAAATTTATCTTACCACTGATGATATTATTATAGACATATGCCATGACATTGTACTACAAGTCTATTTGTCTTTTCTACTTATATACTTTAATAAGAATCAAAGGGTATTTATATACTGTGTAATTGCAGCAAACGTGGCTAAGTGTTGATGAAGCGTATTTCAATAAATAATAATAACGATATAAAAAACCTACCTTTAGTGTTATGATATATAAAAAAACCTACCTCTACTACCAGCGTTCGACTATCAGCTGTCTCTGCCATTTTGGAGAGAATTCTGACGACTATATAAAACGTGAACTAATAATTTCAAGTAAAGAGGGCACGTTTATATGGAAAGAATGTCAGAATGTGGTCAAGACTTCCTTAGAAACAGTCCTGCTGTGGAATTCACATCCTGTCTATCTTCAAACAATGGTGTTAGTATGAAACGGAGATACGGACAAACAAATTCAAGGACTCAAAAAATTTAAAACACGTGTTCTCTCTGTCTCAATTTAAGGACATAAAATAACGACTTTAATATACTCGTTGTTCTGTGATAAGGATGATGATACTGAATTCTGATCATGGTTCTTGTTTGCCGCTCGGCTATCTTGCATTAGTTCAGCTTAGGATTTTATCATTCTTATAAAGATATGAAGTACAAGGTTATCAATAATTATACGGTGGTTTATCTTCATCATAACAGGATAACCTTTTTCCGAATGCATCCTAATAAACGTTCTTATTATACACAAGCGCCAGATATGAGGTATGCTGTAATTTCATTGGTTGGCTACTAGACTCAAGCTTTAGTTGACAATAGCACACCAAAATGCACCGAAAGAGCGACAAAGTTTGGGTATATAATAAACTCACTCTCGTCGTATACTCGGTATACTCTCTATCAGCTCATATACGACTCGAGTTCGCAGAATAACTGTTAAATATATGACGTAGATAGGATTACATTTTACGTATACTTAATAAACTTCATTATGTTTCCACAGACACCACATGTCAAAACATGTTTGCTATTAAAAATATTGTCAAATGCTTAATAACTTTTGTGCTATTCAGATCGTATGGAAACATGAGTAAGTTTCCACAGTCACCAAATAATATTGTTACAATCATTCAAGCACAACCTACGCTTCCTTTTACACTCGCGTTCTCGCGACGTCTTCCAGTTTCCATACTGGACATCTCAATATGACTATTAAACCAATGGCGATGGGAGATGTATAAGACGTATCTTATAATGAATTTAATGTATAATTTTTAAGAATAAATGTATTTTGACTAGTAGAGTTATAAAAATATGCAAGTGTTAATTTTGAAAGAATTGTCATACTAAAGTGCATAAACATGGTGAACATCAATTCTTATAAAGGAAAGATTCGGCATCGCTAATACTAAAGATAACTGACGTTATATTTCCCAGAAAATTTTGAGGATGAGATTTTGATTTTAAACAAAGGATGCTGAAAATCTTCTCGTAAGGCTATTCAGAAGATCGAATTAGTTATACGTACGTGTGGGGAATGACGCAAATGGAAGACAAATGAATATATAAGAACCTAAATATAGATTTCACACAGGATGAGATTTTGATTTTGAACAAATATGCTCAAGATTATCTCGTAAGCAATGCATTCAGAACTCAGAAGATCGAATTAGTTATACGTATACGTTTGAGGAATGACGCAAATGGCAGACAAATGAATATATAAACCTAATATAGATTTCACACAGAATGGATTATAAATCAAAGTAAGATCGGCAATCGACTGTAGCCCACACGTTCATCAGGCATGAAGTTTAGATCATCACATAAGATGAAATTCCGGGGAATAGACTGGGGGAAAACCCCCTTCCAATAACCATGTTCTGAAGAACCAATTCCCCTCTCAGATCAAACAAATCTTGGCAAGTAAACACACAAAAAACGCCTCCCTGTAGTCTGATATTGTTATGTTGTAGAAAGTGTGCTCGATATTGCTTTGAAAGTCACAATTCCTACAATTGATAAATATTTTGAGCTCAAGCGTCAAATATTTCGAGTGGACTAACTCCATTGTGAAGACCATTTCTTGATTTTTTTTATTCAATATATCTTAAATAAGACACTATGGTATAAAAAAGTGGGGAGGAGACAATTACATATTCGTCCCCTTGGGGGACCTGTCCCCCCCGTACCCCCAGGATCTACGCCCTTGCATGCCGTCCAAATTATAACATTCTTAATTTCATCCGTAACAAAACTGAAATTGAACACAGTGTTTGGGTGAAATTTTATACTGCCAAATAGTTAGTCTAATTTCAACCAGACCATTTTTTTCAAAGTTTGGAGTCAGCGCCCGTGTAATGCGATAGACCTTTTATCCAGAGTGAATTTGACATGAAAATCGTGTGTAGTGTAAATGGGTTTTTAGTTGCTTCGTTGCATGTTTGCTGGTGAACGTCAACTTTTTTAACGCATTGACACGTTGTTATATTGCTGTGTTTGTTAGTGTCTCCGTGCATTGTTGATCGATGAATAGATTATTATGGCCAATCTCGCGTTTACATCGCTACGAATGACGAATATTCTAACGAATATTTTTCGCGCAGACAATGTATAAGGCGGTAGACTAGGTGCATGGCAGACTTTTCGCACTGATCTTTTCCAAGGCTCGCATTTCTACCTTTGATAGATGCGAAGGAGTGAATTAATTACGGATGTTCACATAAGAGCTTTTATACATCAAAGTATTCGTAAGTAGGCTAATTAAAATTGCACATAAATACGCAGAAAAGAACTCATTTGCAAATAAAGTGTTTAAAGTGTCATCGTAATTGTTTACAATGTTTGATCTATGTTTGGATCTTCAATCAACTTTTGCAAGATTTTAGGACACTTTTCAAACGAGGCTGTAAATTATTACACAAACTGTGAGTATATTTAAACAGTGAGTATAAAATTAAACTGTAAAAACTGTACATTCTTAAGCACACGAGAGCTATCAGCTGAGCTGGGGGTTACTCGTGCCTGTTCGCTCAGCCGACAGATCACGGTGTGCGGATATATAGATTTTTGCGAGTTTTCTGCAAAGAAAAGGTTGCATATGGCAGAAAACTCACAAAAATCTATCCGTACACGGTGATATGTCGCCTGAGCTAAAAAGTACGAGTAACTCTTAGCTCAGTTGATAGCTCTCGTGTACTGCAGGCTTTATTGTGACGATCAAGCTAAAAATAAAGCTCCACCACGGCGGGAATGAAAGGCGTGAATTTCTTGTATAATTATTCCTCTCTTTGATGTTAGAATATTTAGTGTCATAGCACAATGGCTGCATTCTTATTTTTCAGTCGGCAAAATATATAAGCTAGATATAAATAAGCAATATATATATAAGCTGCTATAGTTTTCACAGGACTTAATAAAATCTAAATGCTGTGATTTGCACTTCCACCATGTCATTCATTGCCTTAGGGCTGCTTTTCACTGTCGCGTTTTTTGCACGCACGTAAAAACTTAACGAAGTTATTGCATAATTAATTTTATGCCAGAAGAAACACATCAAATCATCAAAAGATTCCAACCCTATGCGTCTATTCAGTCGTTTTCATAAGTCAGTATCATTTAAGCTTATATACGTACGTACAAAAACGCAACAGTAGGTAACAGCCCTAATATTCATGTATTTCTGAAGTTATAAATATATACCTAAGGGTAATATTTCATTTCGATTTCCGCGTTATCAATCAATTGTCAAACGAGAATGTCTGATGCTCGTATGAGGTAAAATTATATGCAAAAATACATTGTAAAATGGCGGTAACATCGCAAAATAATAACCTAGCATTGCGTGAATCAAACTTTGATTGGGGGGGAGCATATTCATAATTATATTCTGTTATGCCAGGCTGATTTCTATTGAATGTGAAGTTGTTTTCAAAAGAAATGTTTCAGGCATAGCAGAATATATTACTATGGTCCCCCTCGATTAACGCACGATTGACGCCAATGATAACTAGTAATTAGCTACAAATGACATAATTGCCGGAAAGAAAAAAATTTTTCCACCGGCATTTTTGCGATGATGCATGTTATTTCTACTATGAATTGATATGTGTTACCTCATTCTCGCAAGCATTTATCTACAATATTTGAACAAATATTTATTTATTCACGTCCACCTGCATGGTAAACGTTATTGTTGCATATTTCATTTTATCGATAAATCAGATAGAAAACGACAGGAATTAAGTAAGCATCTTTTTACACTCATTAATGATAACTTACAATTGGGGATAAAAATAGGCATTGGAATTTTACCGTGATGCACTGTGAGATCAGTACCGTGGGGTTCCATGCAATAGGTCTCCGTGGTGCACCCCTGTACGCTATATCAAAGGTTTTATTACTGGGAAGCGAGCGAAAAAGGCAATAAACCTTAATTTTCTTTAGCGCTTTGTATTCAGGTGCCATTAAATTTTAAATAATAAACTGATATCGGGCAAGAAAAGCATGCTTGAAATATGTCCACAGCTTTTTCATTATATTTTCTGGTAGCTGTGATTTTAATAATTTGATTTACACTTGGTAAAAGTAAATGACTAACGGTCTAAAAATTTCCAAAGGAACGTAAAAAAGTATATTTAATTAAACTTGCTACAAGGCTGTTCCAACAAGTCTGGTACAAACATGATGTGATCAGATATCATACAACAACATTGCTACGAACTTGACAGCACATGCAAGATAAGACTTGTCAGAACGATCTGGTAACAATTAAGTCTGATAATGCCATCGGACTTGCTACAAGTTATTAACAGCTTGTCCCGAACTTGTTACAACAAATTTCAGTAAGCATGCAGTGCAAACAAGTCTTGTTGCAAGCTTGTGAACAGACTTGTATCAACTCTGCTGCAGACTTGTTACAACTTGCGCGTTTTTACGCGTGTAACCCCAGCCCGCGGACATGCGCTCTCTAGGACTGGTTATTAGACTCGTCCCCGTTTGTTTCTGCGCGAACGTCGAACACGTGGAGCATGAGCCTCTTGTTCGGCTTGACCCTGCAGCCTTGTGATGCAGGCCTCGACGCCTACGCATGGCGTAGTGTTGATTGCAGCCTTGTGATAAAGGCCTCGACGCCTACGTTTGCAGTCTGCAGCCTGCAGATCCCTTTGCACAACTGCTTTACTCCCAAACAAACAACCTCATCAATTCATCATTGTCCGGTCACACAGCGGCCGCGTCGTCAAACCAGCCTATAATTCTCTCGCAACGAACGCCAGAAAGCTTGTCGCCATTTCTGATCTGATGACGGGGAAATGAAGTTTCCACACGCAATCTAAACTAGCAAATTTGCTGCTGAGCCGTTGTTATCGCCTCTGGCAGCACCGGTCTATAGAGTTTTTTAGCGAGTCAACAGGGCCTTCCGGTGAGGCGAACGATGTCCTTGAACGCCCCCACAGAATGATACTACCCTCATATTCAGCAGGTTTATACATGG